GAACTTGTGAGAAAAAACACTAATTTCGCAGATTTCTGAAACTACAAACGCTATCAACTCGTTCATTGGGTAAAAGGGAGCCATAGGTAAAAATGTTAAATTGGTTACATCTTTATTGACTAGTTAGACACACACCCCAAATGGAGACTAAGTTAAGATTTACCAATTTTTTCAATTTTTTCGGATGTTTCTATAAAAATTTCGTACTTTGCGCATGTTTCCACAAAAATTTGTCACTTCAAAGAATTTCAGTTTAGACCGGTTTTTTGCATGAACAAAACTGTTTTTTCCATTGTAACTGTGTAATTTGGAGTTACTCAGCTAGTTTCAGATTTTTTCAGGCTTAGTAACAAAAAATAAACAAAAAATATGCAAAAAATGACAAAAACTGAAATTTTCAAAAAATTATGAACATTGTTCAAAGTTCGAAATTTCAATGGAAAAGCTCACAAAACTTGAAAAAATCGGTAAATCTCAACTCAGGCATAATTTTTCCACTTGAGTTGCCCCCCCCCCCCCCCCCTTTTCTCATGGACCCCCTTTTCTCATAGGGCCTTGTCATAAAGAGCCATTTTATTTATGTTCAAATACTGACTTATTCAATGAATCAACAGAATTTAATTGAACCAAAGTACACAATCTCATTGTAAGAGTAATAAAATCTATCTTAATCAGCACATTTTGAAACAGACAAAAATGTTTTCGAAAAAGTTTCTTTTGCTTTAAACCCCTATTTCTCCTAAGTTTCAATACTATAACGTCTGTTGTTTTGGGCTATTTCTTCAAATTTAGCATAAAAACTTTCCAGTTTTCTAAAGTTTAAAATCTTGTTTAGGGATTTCAAAATTTATTACGTCATCGGAAACGGGAAGTTCGTTTCCAGTCAACATCAGGGTTCATATTGTAAACCGGCAGAATTTCTGAAAAAAAAGTTGGAAAATGAATTTTACAGTAGTTAATTTTACATCGCTTACAAAACATCTCTGTTTCATGTAATCCATTTGAAGTATCTTGGAATTTTTAGGTGATTTATCTGGCGCACGGAAAGCTACTTCATTTGACGGCTGGCGACGACCACTTTGAGTTCAATTATCACCGGTTCCTGTGCAAGATACCAAAAAAGGGCAACTATTAAAATGTCAGTCATAAAATATTCAACGTTTCATTGATTAACAAATTTTTGATATCTGTTAAAGGAACCAGGATAATTGAGCTGCAATTTTACAATCTGTTGCATACTATACTACCCTCATTTCCATGCAAATGGCCTCGTTACTTGTTACACCCTCTGCTATTTTCCATACAACGCGTTACTGTGAAGACGTGAAGACAGCCAAAAACACATTCATCCATGGCCTTATCTGATCATTCATTCCTCGCATATCTTAACGAATGAGAAAGAGTGTAGAGGAACAGAGAAAACTTCCTTCTTTTTTCTTATGTGTTGAAATCCTTCCTTTTTTTGTGTAAATGTTTACTTTTTGGACTTATATACCTGTATACCTCCTTCTGTATGTTTGTTTTTTGTATTTGTGTTAACAAGAGAAGAAAGAAAAGGATCTATGGGGTAGGAAGTTGGTGGGATGAGCCATTTTTTGTTTTCTTTTATTGGAATTTTTTCCGGTTTCTTGAGATTGTTAAGAATATCGAAGTCAATTAGGTTTTCTTTTTTTTTCATTTTCTTCTTTTTGTTATGTTCAAAATTAGAAAATTTCGAAAAGAGTTCAGCTTTTTTTTCGGTTTCATCATTTCTATTGTTTTTCTTTAAAATTGGCTGTTTTCTAAAGAATACAAAATTTTCGAAGGTCTCAAAACTACTACTGTCGTAATCTGAACATTTCTCATTTTCATTAATATTTTCTCTCCATTTTCCGTTTCGGAGGAAATAACTAAAGAATCAGGAAAGATTGAGTATTTTTAGGTTACGGTAGTTTTTTTAGAAAGAAACAATAAATAAAACCTTAGAATTTAAGCAAACTCACTTAAAATTCTTAAAAGAGTCTCTAGAACAACCACGAGCCAAATCCAAGCTCGCAATCACTCAAAACTAAATTCAAATTGTGTGCGCGCCGAGCGGGATAGCGGAGTGTCGTTGCGTGGTTAGAGGGAACCTTTAGAAGGGGTTGGAGGGTAGATGCACCAGGCAACTATTTCCTCAAACTTCCGAGAACAAATTACTGTTTTACAATTAACTTTTCGGCGTTATTGCATTTCAGTAAATAGTGAAGATCTACAGAACACAAAGCTTTAAAACCGCTTACCTGGTTTTTTCTTGGCAAAAAAACTTTCAAGAAGCTATATTTTTGATTAGTAAACTCTGAAATTTTCAGTCAAACCAAAAAATTGTGAAATACTTTTTTAGAAATTCGAAGTTGACAGTATATGCTGTTCAGATGATTTATTTTTTTTGTACAGTACTGTAAAAGCTTTTCAATTATTCATTGATTTTTCTCTACATCAAGAAACGAAGTGGTTACTTTATTAATTGGTCTGTTACAAAAAACTTCATGAAACTGTGATCTTCAAAAAAATCCATTAGTGTTGTTTCCGTTTTTTAAAAAGATAATTTTTTGTGCCGCCATAAAAAAAATCAATGACTCTTTTCAGATACATGTCTATGATACCATTTCTATGAAACTGCAAAAATTACTTTTAAAAGTTTGGTACATTACCTCATGCAAAATGGAAAAATTTTAAAAACTAAAAAATTATGAAATTTCTCTGTTCTTTTATTACCACATTTTCTCTCTTTCTCTCTTCTTGAAAACTGATAAAAGCGATGATTTTTTTTCCCACCGGAAACCCCCTCCGATTCCATTCTTTTCCCCAAAAGTGACACTTGTTCTTCTCTCAAAAATCTTCTCGCACTTTCTAAATCTATTCTTTTTCTCTTTCTTCGTTTTGTTCTTGGCCACCAACATCGTTTGAAAACTGACCGAGACCCTCGATTTGTTGCCAATTTCCTTGCCTTTTCCCACAATTTTCTCTCTAACAGTTGTCTTCTCCAGTTGTCTGCGTCTCGCTTCATTTAGTTTCTCTCGTCATTTTGAGAATGATGATTACAACAGGAAAATAGAGGGAGAGAGAGAGAGAGAGAGAGAAAAGAGCAATAGGGGTCTTACACACACACACTCACACTGATGATCACATAAATTAGAGACATTTCGGATGGACAGAAAGAGCAAAACGAGATGGAATTTGTTGCGATTTTCGATTTTTTATTGTTGGGTCACATTTCCTTTTTTGCTCTGAACTCAAAAATTACTGTTTCAAAATTTTCTTTTTTCCTGAGTTTTTTGTGTATGTGCTGCAACTTTTCTCTCTTATTCGGGTTATTTCTCTGAAATTTCGAAAATGAACTGTTTCAAAATTTTTATTTTTCCGGGAGAATTTCAAATTTAACTGGTCATGTTTCGTTTTGTCTTTCTACATATTTTAAATAACTTGTCTAGAAATTCGAAAATTTACCGTACGATGTACGCTACAATGGAAAACAAAGAATATTAACTCTTTAGATGTTATTTTCAGAAAAATTACAGTTTCCAAATTTTAATTGTTTCCCGCCTTCTTTGAATTTGCGCTATGAGAAGATTTTTTATCTGGAAAATAACCTGTTTTAAGTTTACCTTTATTCCAGAATTTGGAATTTCTGGTATTGTCTGTTTGTAGGGTGCGAAAAAATTGTTTGATTGGAAAACAATGAAAAAATTTCAATGCACTGTTCAGTAAAAAATAATTTCAACTTTTCCATTTTTTCAACTTTTGAATTTGTACTAATACTAATACTTGAATTTCAATTTTTTCAAATTTTTGACCTCAATTTCGGGTTTTTTTCTCAAGATTTTCTAAAAACCACTGTTCCAAATTTTACATTTTTCCTGAATTCAAAACTTTAGGAACTCGATGAACTGTTCAGTTGAAAACCAAAAAAATCATTTTTAATGCAATTTTCTGAAAAATTACTGTTTCGAGCTTTCCCTTTTTTATCGGAATCTTTCAAATTTGTGCTGAATTATTGCTATTAAGTTGAAATTCAAAACTGCTATATTTTTGAACTTTAGAAATTTGATTTTCTTTGGTAATTCTGAAATTTTGATAGAATTTTTAGAAATAAAAACTACAGTTTCGAGATTCTGATTTTTTCAAGAAATTCTTGATTTTTTCAAGAATTCATTATCGAACGTTTTCTACCCTTTTATGATTATTCATTCTTCTACAATTTTTGGTGTTCTGTTGTGTTTCATTTCAAATTTTGCGCGAACGGTTTCAAAGTGGCTAAATCTATCATATTACTGAATTTTAAAAATTCCTGAAATTTTGAGTTCTGGAAGAAATGTAATACTTGGAAAACAATAATTTTTGTATTCCTAGAACAGAAACCCAAATTAATGCCCAGAAATTAAAAATTCTTTGATATAGAAATGATATATATCTCGCAGTGCATGCTACAAAAAAGTAAAAACCGAACACTGTAAACCATTACGCAAAAATGCACAATATGTTCTTCTTTTTGCCATTTCAAAATTCTTCTTGTGTTTTTTTTTCTTGTTGCAATATGAAACGATTTTTCCCTCTAAATGTTCCCATGGCCAAACAAATTGTTTACATTCAGGAAAAGAAGATGTTTCCAGAAAGAATCACATGAGAGCCTCTATCATTTCTTTTAGTCTTTTTTCTCGAATCGCTCAGAAAATTGTTCAGTTTTTGATCTTGAAAATATTTTTTATAGGAAAAAAGATATTTGGTAATACCATTATTATCCAAAAAAATTAGCAAATTAATATGGATATCTATTATCCTTGTCAGAGAAAAAAAAGGTTGAGTCGAAGTGTATGCGATGTTTGTAAACAAATATCTGAAAGCGTAAACAACCGGAAACAGTTGAAACGAGTGCGACAGTAACCCGGCGGGAAAATATTAAATTTACTCATTTTTTAGCCCCCCCCCCTAAATTATTCTAACCACAACCAAAAATTGTTCCAGGCATGTAAAGAAGGTGGATGTCTTCATCTTGTTCCACATCCGATTCGAAAATCAAAGAAATCAATGTGATCGTTGTCGGTGTGAGCGGTTCGGAGACCGTCAAAGGACCATCTGGTGTTGGGAAGTCACTACTTTGTAATCGATTTGTTCGACCAGCCGCTGATGAGTTTCACAGGGAACATTCGTCGGTGCTGTCGCAGGTGAGGGTCCGGATTTTTTTTGTTGGATTTTTGGGCATGAGAGCATTTTTTCCCAAAATTTTGCCAGAATTAAATTACGGGCGAAAATATTGGAGATAGAGCACTGTACTACGCGGTCGCAATTTTTGAAAATCTCTACCAAAGGTCTGCTAAAGTTTTTTGAATGATCGATCATAGGACTGCATTGGTAGAACCATTATTATCCCAAAAAATTATCGGGTTAATATGGATATCTGGAAACTGGAAAAAACTTTCAGAAAAAAGTTAGTGTGAGTTAGTTTAAAATTCGATTAGACAAGCGAGGCTTCAATTTTTTGATTTTACCTACTATGTATGTTGACTCGAGTATATTCAAAAATGCAATGTACTATATCCTAAGGATGGGAAACAGTGAAAACATATTTTAGACGAAAATAATGTAAAGGAAATGGAACAGCAAATATTTTGGGAGGACAGTTTAGGAGTTAAAACCGGCAACCAACTACATAGCTCAGCCGGTAGCGGTACAGTACCTTTAATATTTCACCCCAAGTTCAATTTCTCAAAAAAAGGCGAAATTCCAAGGAAATTTTTTTAAATGTCTGTAAACTGATTCATGACTAGAAACAATAATTTTTGAGCTCCTGAAAATGGTATTTGAATTTGTCCCGTTTTGATGACTACTGTACCAGAAATGAGAACTGTTACACTTGATAACTCCAATGGATGTGAACTTTTGGAAACAGAAAATGTTTCAAATTATTTTGTGAGCTAGTAAGCCAGATGCGATCGCGTAGCTCAGCAACGCGGCACCTACAATATTCTACCCACAGCCTTAATTTCACAACTAACCCCAAGCTTTCAATGTTTCACTATTAGACCACCTAATTCCCAATTCCAAATTCCAATAACATGAAAATAGCGAAACAGAAAAAATCTCACAATTAATTATTGTTTTCAAATCTCAGATCGATTTCTGCGGAAGCCCAGTGATCAACAAGGATCACTGGTTGTACTGGGGAAGACGCCTATTGAATACTCCTGAAACTTCTACTCCAACTATTTTGATTCGAGTTGCCGAGCAGACAGGTCAGTGATTTTTTCTCAAGGCATCTACAAGAATGGCTTAAAATTTGAAGAGTCCACAATTATGGTTGTTTGGAAACCGGAAATTTCCGAATTAAAAAAAAAATGTCAGTTTCCAGCAGGTCGTAATTGTCAATAATTGTCGTAGCCAACAGTAAAGCAAAATTATTTCAGAATTCCTTGGCGATGAAACATTTGAAACAATTGGCGGATGTTCAAAATCCGAGGACTATTATCACAGATGTAGTAGGACGAGTCTACAGAGCAGAGACAAACTGATGTATATACAGAAGGTAGGTTTTCTTGGAAATTCGGTTTCAAAAGCCTTGGGACATGAAAAAACAGCTTCTCAAAATACCGTCTATATAAGCCCTCTTTAGCAGTTGAGTTTATGGACCCACTATTGAAGGTGTCTCGTTGCTAACAAAATTGGCTGACTGCCGATTTGAAATTGATGCGTTGTATAAACCCTAATAAAACCTTAATGACTTTTCTGTCTCTCTTTTCTAAAATTGAAGTCTCGATTTTCAAAGTTATGAACTGTATTCATTGTCCCAACAATCTTGTCGCTTTTGATGAAAACGTCGTGAAGCAGATTTTTTTTTCACAATGGGACGGAATTCTTACGGCTTTTGCCAACTTTCTGATCGTCTTATCGGGAAAAAATTCCACAATTTTCTGACAAAAACCTTTTTTCTACTTCTGGTTAGCTTGATCCGGCCTGAACCAGCCAAAGTACACTAATTAAAAATGGTTTGGTTTCTAACAGAATTTTCTCAAATTTTTTTCTGTTTTACTTGAACAGTATGAAAGTCATCAAATGTTTCACTATTCATTCTTCTGTTTAAAATTCCAACTTTTTTTCAGTTTCAGTACTTTGAGAAATTTAGTCGCATTTAGAATTTTTCAATTTTTTTACGGCAATCTCATCGACTCAATAAGTTCGTAGCCTCTCATAAAAACTCTGTGGAGCAGAATTATTTTTGTTCGAATTTGAACACTTTGACTTTCAGGTGGGTCTGACTGCTTTGACCGCCAAACTCAAAAATTCTAGAGTTTTCAGCAAAAGCTTCTTTTCTGTTTTTTGGTTAGCTTTGTCTAGCCTGAGCCAGTCGAAATATTCTAATAAAAAAGTTCTGTTTTTCTTCAAAAAATTTCTGGAAACGTTTCTTTTTCACTTGTAAAGAATAGAAAGTGCATCAAGTTGTTTTAAAATTATTGTATTCGATGTCTCCATCTTTATCTGTTTCAGTCTTTTGAAACATTCTGTCACATTCAGCCCTTTTAAATCGATTGAACAGACTGAAGTGAAAATCGTATTTTGAGAAATTTCTCATTTCCAAAGAGCATAACGGAAATTATTCAGAAACAATATCAAACTCGCTTATTGCGTCCTAGCGTCCTAAAAATGTTAATTTTGAGATGGGGAAAATTATCAGAAGGAGGCAGGGCTACTGACGCTTGAAACCAGAAATTCTCAACAAACTTGGTGAATGCAAAGTTTCCAATCTAGATCTGTTTCACACTCCTAAAAATGGTCGGAGCATATTGAAAAACACAATGTTCAAGAATGGCCGAAAACCTTGGAGTTTTGATTTCGTACAATAGCTGGTATATTGCAATGATAAGCAATTCATAAAAAATTCTTGAAGCAGCAATTTTTTTCGCAATTAGAACAGAATTCCTATATGCAAAGTTATCATTAGGCAGTATTCTGATTTCAAAAAAAAATCAAATTTTGAGCAAAAATTCCAAATTTCCAGAATTTTCGCCAAAAACTTTTTTTTTCTTCTCCAGGTTAGTTGAACCAGTAAAAATATTCTACTCGAAATGTTTTTATCAGAAATTTCTTTTTAAAATTTCTGTTTTACTTGTGAAGTATAACAAGTACATCACTTTTTCATTATTCGTCGCAGAAGACAATTGAAGCAAGTATCGTTTTTTAAAGATTTTTTTTATTCTCAACATTCAATGCCGAAAGTCAATGTCGAACTGAATCTCCCATTATGCGTTTTCAATATGTTACTTTCGAAACGGGACATTTTTTCAAAAGGGAAACTTATATTTTCCAGTGTTTGGCCCACAAGTTCAACTCCTCGATACCAACCAATGAACCTCTATTTTTCAGGAACAACTGGGTCTGGAATCGGAATTCCCTCAACACCTCCTACCAGATGGAAAATTCAATGTAGACGGGTTTATTCTAGCATGTGACATCTCCAAAAACTCTCAACTTCACACGAATCAAATCCTGAATATCGCCAAATCAATAGCCAAAACCAAAAAGCCTATTTTGATCGCATTCACAAAATGCGACGAAATGAGTGAGAAGTCGAAGAAGCATTATATGAATTTGTTCATGGGAACAAAGGAGTTGAAACATGTTCTCTGTAATTTGTCACCAGTGGAGACGTCGGCTGTGAAGAATGTGAATGTGGAGTATTTGTTTGGAACGATGGGATTTCTGTGTTTGAGGAATCAGAAGTTGGTGAAAAAGGCGTTGGGGTATCAGGAAGCATCGCTGTTTGTTGAGCAAAGGAATTTACATGTCAAGTGAGTTTAAGAGCATAGTGGGATGATAACGGACCGAAAACGGACCATAGACGGACTTCACCATAACTTCTTTCACACCCCACGTTTTTGGACCAACTAAAATTGGTATTTTGAAAATAGACAAAGTCCACGAAATTGCATTATTTGAGAAACTGTATCTTGCCTATGAAAAAAGTTAAAAGTCATAGAAGAAAGTTAGAGTTTTAGAACGTTTTTTTCTTGTTCCGTCAGCCCAAGATACAGTTGTACTGAAAGTAATACTGTATTACTACTATAGTAGTATCAATTAGTACTGTCAAGTTCTACCTATTTTAGTTGATCCCATTATAATGAGTCTAAAAAAAGTTATGGTCCCGGTCCGTCGTTTGTCTGTCGTTTGGCTCTTTTTGACCAGTTTCAAATGATTAGAAAAACTTTTATAAAAATGTGTATGTTTCAAAGTATTATAAATTGAATCGCAAATTTTTAGGACTTATTGAGGAGATTTGGAAATGCGCTCTAACTAGAACGAAAAATATTCGACAGCTAGAGACTACAATCCTAGAGTACTACAGTGAGAGACGCAGAGAAATTTTCTTGCAAAAATTCTTGAAAATTAGACAATCCCAATGCGATACGCTTTGGTCCCCCTTTTTTTTTTGAAAATTTGAAACTTTTTGTTCTCGGTTGGAAAAATAGACGACCGCAGTTTTTCGTATAGCAGATATTTTCAAACACCTTGAAACTGAAAAAAATCAGTAGTTATGCAAAAACAGAAAGCCATCCTATACTTTCACTTTGAACTCAATTATCTCGGTTCCTTCAAGAGCTCTGAAAAATTAATCAACTGATAGTGATATTATGATGAACATTTTTTCAGTTGACTAATTTTAGATATCTCTAGTGGGAACCAAGATAATTGAGCTCCAACGACAAGACCAATTTTTCAGATGCTGTTTCTCGACGCTTCTGGCTCAAGCTGTCCCTCTCTGTGTGTATCCAAAAAAGTGTTTGAGTTGGAAACAAGTGCTAGCAGATATCGATCGACATCCGGATCTTCAGAATTTCGTTACCGTATTTGGAAGCCGAGTCGCGTTTGAAATGTACGAGAGATATGTGTCCGAAGCGAAGGAATTGTGGGCAATGAACAGGTAAAATTTTGTTTTACTAAAAAGTGGTTGGTACTGGTTACTGTATCAAATGGGCCATTTATTACAATTGTTCTGTGTTTGGAATATTCAGTTCTTCGTTGACTTCGACTATTGTGTATTAGGAGTATCAATTCTACAGTATTAACTGGCCAACATTTTTTTGTTTGGTTTCTCCTATTTCAGTTGAAAATTGTCAACTTTAAATGTTTGAAAAACATTGTAAATTTTGTTGGATCAGACTGAATTTTCAGAGTATACTAAACAAAAATAAAGTTTTGATTTTGTAATTTACAACTTTTGGATACAAATTCATCCAAATGAGATATACCTGTTTGAAGCGTCATGACTCTAATCTTGGTGATTGGTTGGTTTCAAGCGATTTGGCTTATTTGGATTGATTTGTATTAAAAAGTTTCCAATTACAAAATTGAAGCTCTAGTTTTGTTTAATATACTTTGAAATTTTCAAGCAAATCGAACAATTTTGAAACACTTCGGCAGTACTTCGAAATTGATTATTTTTCATCGAAAAGTTAAAATATGGTATTGTAGATTTCAATGTTTCTGTTTCTTCAAGTTAACGATAAGAGTTGTTTGAATGTAAGTTAATTATTATATATAGTCTAAAAAAACTGAAAAAAATATCAAAATTGACTTTTTGTCCGGTACTGTAGGTTCCTTTTTTTTCTGTTTCTTCAAGTTAATAGTAAGGGTTATTAATTAGTGAAATTAATAATGATGATCTTTTCAGTAAAACACCTTTGTTCCAGACTCCGTTCTCTCGTCTCTCGCCTACCACAAGTGTTTCAAGTATTTCTGGATGTGGTGGATTTGGCTGAAATGGAATGGAATATGGCAAGAGATTATATTCGATGTCATCCATTGTTTAACGCTCTTTTTGAATGCAACGGTGAGTTTTTGAGTTTCGAGTAGGGAAAAAAATATGTGTGAAGAATGTGAAACACAATTTTTTAATTTTAAAAAATTAGTGTTTCACAAATTGATATGTCCTTTGCCGATCGGTTGCGGTGGGCGGAGCTGAAATGCTGAAGGATTTTAATTTTCACAAATTCTAGGCGATCCATGTTTCGTTTTCAAACATTTTTCCAGTTTCGAAAATTTGTAAAATATTGATTCTCATTTTCTTCTATTTGATGAAGGTGACATGTAAAACATACCGTAAAACCTCTAATAGAACTACACCCGGATCGTCCACTTTGAGCCTATATATCTCATTTTCTGTGAAAGATATCAAAAAGTGGCTAACTAGTAAAATGTTGCTGATATCCTGATAAACATTTTACTAGTTAACCACTTTTTGATATCTTTTAAAAGAAGTGAGATATATAGGCTCAAAGTGG